TTGGGGCGTTTTGGGTGGATTTGGGGCATATTTGGTGCAATTTGGGGCAAATTGGGGCCTTCAGGCCTGGTTTGGCGGTTTTGGGCAGTTTTGGGGCAGTTTGGTGGAATTTGGGCGATTTTTGGGGTGATTTGGGTTGGGTTGGGGTGGTTTTGGTACAATTTGGGGCATTTTTGGTACAATTTGAGGCGTTTTTGGTACAATTTGGGGCGTTTTTGGTACAATTTGGGCCGTTTTTGGTACAATTTGGGCCGTTTTGGTGCGGTTTGAGCCCGTTCGGGGAAATTTGGGCTCGGCCTGAGCGGCTTGGGGACAATTTTGTCCTTTTGGGGCGCTCGGGGCTGGGTTTGGGGCGTTTTGGGGCCGTGTGGGAGGGATTTGGGGCAATTTAAGCGGTTTTGAAGGATTTCGGGTGGTTTTGGGGCACTCGGAGCTGTTCCCGAGCCACTTTCCATCATTTCGGCCGCGTTCTGTGCACTCCAGGCCGCCTTTGCTGTCACTTTCCGCTGGTTTGGCTCCCCTCCAGCCGCTTTTGGGGCTTTTTTTGCCCAATTCCCGCCCGTTTCGCTGGATTTTGGGGCGATTTCCGCCGCTTTTGGGCCATTTCGAGGCCTCTTCTCGGCCGCGTTGCCATGGCGACGCCGCCATCTTGTCCCGCCCACATCCCCATGACGACGCCGCCATTTTGTCCCGCCCACATCCCCATGACAACGCCGCCATCTCGCCCCGCCCACATCCCCATGACAACGCCGCCATCTCGCCCCGCCCACATCCCCATGACAACGCCGCCATCTCGCCCCGCCCACATCCCCATGACAACGCCGCCATCTCGCCCCGCCCACATCCCCATGACAACGCCGCCATCTCGCCCCGCCCACATCCCCATGACAACGCCGCCATCTCGCCCCGCGGCGGCGGGCGGCGGCAGCGAGCGCGGGGAGCCGGCCTGGGTGAGGCCCCGGGGGCGGGCGGCGGCGCGGGGCGGGGGTTGCCGTGGGAAGCCCGGTTAACGGCGGTGCCCCGGCCGGCAGGACTCGTACTACCAACCGCGCGGGCTGGAGAAGCACACGGACAGCGTGCTGGCGCTGGTGAGCGGGCGGACGCGCTCGGCCTCGAGAAACGGCCCCGGAAACACCGAAAAACACCCAAAAACACCCGAAAAAACAGCCCAAAAAGAGCCCGGAAAACCCCAAAAAACACCCCGAAAAACCCCCCCAAAAAACATCCCAAAAAAACCCAAAAACCCCCCAAAAAACATCCCAAAAACACCCGAAAAAACAGCCAAAAACAGCCCGGAAAACCCCCAAAAACACCACGAAAAACACCCCCAAAAAACACCCAAAAAGAGCCCGGAAAACCCCAAAAACCCCAAAAAACCCCCAAAAAACATCCCAAAAAAACCCAAAAAACACCCCAAAACAGCCCGGAAAACCCCAAAAAACCTCCCCAAAAAACACCCAAAAAACCAGCCCGAAAACAGCGTGGAAAGCCCAAAAACACCCAAAACCAGCCCGAAAAACCCCAAAAACCCCCAAAAAACATCCCAAAACCACCCGAAAAAACAGCCAAAAACAGCCCGGAAAACCCCAAAAACCCCCCAAAAAACATCCCAAAAAAACCCAAAAAACACCCAAAAAAACAGCCCGAAAACAGCCCGCAAAAACGCCCAAAACACCCCAAAAACAGCCCGGAAAACCCAAAAAACCTCCCTAAAAAAACCCCAAGAAACACCCCAAAAAACCCAAAACAAAAACCCATAAAACACCCCAAAACAGGCCGAAAAACCCCAAAAAACTCCCCAAAAACCACCCCGAGAAGCCCCAAAAAGCCCCCCAAAAAACACCCCAAAAACAGCC